TCGCTGAGATTCTTCCATCGCTAAAACCAACAAAAAAACCAAAAGTTAAACACAAGAAAGAGAGAAAGAGAGAAAGAGAGAGAGAGACAGAGACAGACAGAGAGACAGACAGAGAGAGACAGAGAGAAAGAGACAGAGAGAGAGACAGACAGAGAGACAGACAGAGAGAGACAGAGAGAAAGAGACAGAGAGAGGCAGAGAGGGAGACAGACAGAGAGAGGCAGAGAGAGAGACAGACAGAGAGAGACAGACAGAGAGAGACAGAGAGAGACAGACAGAGAGACAGGCAGAGAGAGAGATAGATAGAGAGAGAGAGACAGAGAGAGGTGGACAGAGAGGCAGAGAGAGAGACAGAGAAATTAATAAATTATTTAATGCTCTCAAGACAAGTTACCTTTGCCTTTTATGACGTATTCGTACGTTGTTAACAAAACGTTAATGCTGTAACCATTTCTGTAAGATTGCTAATGTATTCATCGGTTTGAGAGAGAAGAAAAGCCAAACGTTTATCTTTTTTCTGATCGATTAATTTTCTATTAACAAAAAAAAAAAAAAGGAAAAACATTCATTATAACTAAATTAAACTTTTTGAATTGTTTTCTCTCTCTCTCTCTCTCTCAACCTACCTGCAACCTTCTTCGTCTTCGGCCATTAAACGCCTCATACGTTCTTTTTCGATTCTTTCCTGTTCTTTCTTCTGTTCTTTTTCCGCGTTCGCATGATAATTCAATACGGCTTTGTTTAACCTAGCCACTTTTGCCAAATTACTTGATGCTCTTTGATGCTCTTGGTGATGCTCTTTGAAATCTTTCGAATGTTGCAGCATGGCAGCCAAATATTCCTTCTTAAAAAAAAAAAAATAATTAAAAATTTTTTTAAGAAAACGTTCTCAATCAAATAACGGATATCCGTTTAATTTTACTTGATGTTTTTGACGTCGTTTCTGTTCCGCTTCTAATTTTTGATGTTTTTCAAGTTTTTTTTTTTAATGTCCATTATTATTGGTGACCTTTTGACATTTTTCGGGTAGTATCATTTTCCCATGTTTCATAAAACTCTCTAGTTTTAGGAGCAAAAAACTGGTCCAATGCAGTTTTGACAACCTCATTGTCGTTTTAGAACAAATGATACTCACTTTGAGCTAGGTAGGGACCATAAGAGGAGGGTGAGGCAAAACATTCCAGCCTAGCTCCAGTAGTTTTTGTCCAGTGGCTAAAGATGGGGAGAGAGCCTGGCATTATCATGGTGAAAGACAATTCCTTTGCTATTGGCTAGCTCCGATCGTTTTTCTTGAATGGTATCATTTAAATTTGTCAATTGTCGAATGTAAACCTCTGAATTTATGATCTGACTTCGTGGCAGCAGCAGCTCAAAGTTGACTATGCCTTTGTAAGCCCACCAAAATGATAACAATAACTTTTTAGGTGAATGTCAGCCTTAGAAGTTCTAAGGTGCCTGTTTCCTTGCCTAGACCAGAATCTTTTTCTCAAAAAGTCATCATAAACAACCCACTTTTCATCTCCGGTGACCATTCTTTCAAAAAAGGGTCATTCGCATTGCGTTTAAGAAGCATATCGCAAAGACCAAGTCGCCTCGTTAACTAACGTTCCCCAAAATAACGCATCAAGCTTCTTTTGGCACCCAAGACGCCGCAGACGGTTTTTGACGCACGTATGTGACACATCTAGCTTCTTTACAACGTCCCTAGTCAAACTATGCCGATCATAATCAATGAGGGCCTTTATTTGCTCATCATTAACCTCCAATGGACGCCCGGAGCGCTCCTCATTTTTCAAAGGAAAATCTCCAGAACGGAATTTCGCAAACCAGTTGACTATCTAACAGTAAAAACAGTTGACTAACTTTAACAGAAATTATCTGTTGGTAAAATCCGCAGTTACTTACTGGCCAACCCAATAATTTACATAAAACAAATTATTTAACGAAAATATTCATGTATCGGCTACGTTAAAAGCCTCCATATTTTTTTAAGTTCCACGTTAAAGTGAAATACATTTTTCTAATGACACTTTATTTACCATCGATATAATTAAGTTTAAATTGATGTCTATGGTAACTATTAGTTTTACTATTTCCCATTGTGAGTAATTTTTCCCGTACTAATTTCAAATAAAAATCGTAAAATTTGTTTTTAAAGAAATTACAAAATGCACGGGAGAGTCAAAATAAGAACGACAGAAGAACATAAAGAAATCGCTAGGCAAGAAAAACAGAAAAAGGCAATAGAATTTAAAAGATAATGAATCAAATATTAGAAAAACGTTCTTCACAAATACACTACGAAGAAGGTTTAAATCTCACCGGTAATTATAGAAGAGAAATATTTTTGTCTTTGAAAAACGACTAGGATTTGGAAAGTTATCAAAAACTATTGGAAAAAGATTTACAATTGACAGAACAGTGCCAGAGAGTAAATCCAAAATCATATGGTAGTTGGCATCATAGAATATGGATATTGGACAATTTACCCAAACCTGATTGGAACAAAGAATTAAACCTTTGTACAAAATATCTTCAATTAGACGAAAGAAATTTTCACTGTTGGGATTATCGTAGATAGTCGCTGAAAGATCAAATGTTTCTCATTTGTCTGAATATAAATTCACTCTAACATGAATACTGTATTAAATTATGTATGTATATGTACATGTGTAATTATGGGAGGCAGGACCAAAAGTGATACCTCAGGAGTGCCTCCTACATGGTTGAGGGGAGTATCCCAATTGGGTGGAGCGGATCACTGCAACGGGAAGCAGGAAAATAACCCATACGTTGTACATGGATGACCTGAAGATATATGCGAAGAGAGCTAAGAAGAATTGAAGAAAATGTTAAGGATGATACAAACTTTTTCCTCTGACATCAACATGAAATTTGGTTCGAAAAATGTGCAAAAGTTAATATTGTCGTAGGAAAGTTAAAATGGAAGAAAATATAGAAGACTCAAAAGAAGAACTTATTAAAGAATTGGACCCTGGATCAACATACAAATATCTGGGGATTGAAGAAAATTTGGGGGTAGCCAACAAAGAAATTAAACCTCGATTGAAGAAAGAATATTTTAAAAGATTGAGGCTTATATTACAGTCGGAACTGAATGGAAGAAATAAGTTAAACGCCATCGGGACATTAGCAGTTCCAGTAATAGAATATAGTTTTGGCCTCGTCGATTGGACATAAGAAAAAATCACTCACCTGGACCGAAGAACAAGGAAAGTTGACATGCGTTTACATCATGTCAACTTATTAAATTAATTTTTAATAATTTTATTTAGTGATTTAGTTATAAGAAGTTATGTATGTATCAAAAGTTTTGTAATTTAGTCTAATTTATTGTAATATAATTATTTTTTTTTATATTAATTATTTGTTTTTTATTTTGTACTCCTGATTTTAAGCGAAAATCCACTGTTCCATTTTATTTTTTATTAAAAAACCTCCTTGGATATTATGTTTTACGGATACATCGGAAAAAAATTCGTCGATTAAAAATTAAGTTAAAAATGACCGCGAAAATCCAACGTTTACGATTTATTCTAAAGTAGGTCGACCTTGAATCCAAGGCCATTAGTTTTAAATTTCAATTTTGTGAAAATTTTCATGGTCACGATTTTTCAACCAAGGTCGACCTTGTTTACTGTTTACGCTAAGTAGGACGACCTTGTATATTTTACCTGGCACACATTTTATTTTAAGCGGGAATCCATTGTTTGAATTTTATTTTTTTCTATACCTCCTTGGGTATTATGTTTTTCTGATACATTTTAACATATTTTCTCATTAAAAGTATTAAAAATACTTTGTTGCGTTTTGTCGGGGACCCCTCCCCACGATCTTCTTGCATTGGAAAGACTTTATCGCGCGCTTGGAAGATCCAGGAAAAGGGACGTAAAGTTATACAGGAAAAATGTACTTAAAATAAAAGACAATATGAAATATATATTTGAAAAAATATTTATAATAATAATAATATACATTTTTATTAATAATTTTTATTTAGTCATATAAGTTAATAAATTTTTTTTTTTTTTTTTCCATTTCCAAAACAACACATGATAAATCGAATAAAATTCACAACAATTATTATTATTATTATTTTTTTATTTACATAAAAAATTATATTTATTATTTTGATTGATTTAAAAAAAAAATATATACATATATATAAATTATTATTGTCATTTTGTTTTCGATTAAATATATATAGAAATATATTTATTTAATTTATTAATATTATTTGTCATTTTTTATTTATCCCCCCCCTCCCCTTACTTCTCGCATTTTCAGCATTATATTTATATATTATACATAAATAAAATTTTAAACTGTTGATACATATTTGACACTTGAATCCCTGGGTATTATAAACATCATAGCCAATTGCAAACTTGATAAAAGAGTCCCTAAAAAATTTGTTATCTGAAAAATAATTGATGAAAAAATCATAATAAATAAATAAATAAATTGAAATATTAATAATAAATAATTATTAACCATTATGTAACCATCATTGGTTATGTATCCATAGAGAAACCATTGTAACGAAACAATAAATGTTGTAGCAATCAATAAACGAGGAAGACTTTCACTGTTCCAAACTCTTATAACGTAACGCTAAAAGAAAAAAAAGAAAAAAAAAAGGTATTAATTCTTAATTTATTGATATTAAAATGATTTAATTAATATTTTTACCATGTTTGCCAAGGGTGATACAAAAAATAAAACAGTTACTATACTGCACAATAAACCGAAAACTGTGACTAATCTACTCATATTTTTTTCATTCATGCTATAAAAAAATGCAGTTACTATTGTTAGAAAACCAATTCCTAATTGTTTTCTCACATCATTCTGAAAAATTAATAATTATTATTATTATTATTAAAATAATGTTTGGAAGAGTTCATTGGTTCATTATAAAGGAAATATATACAAACTTTTTTTGTGCAATGAATGTAATAACAAAATGTATAACTAAATTGTAATGTTGCTCCGATTGTGTTAACTTTAACAATTGTATAATCGTTAATTATAATACCATAAATCAACCATAAAGTGCATGAAGTGAGAGCAACAGCATATGGAGTCACTATCATATCTCCAACAGTTTTTTTTCTTATAAAATAATAACAAGTAGGACTGAAATTAACACAAAAAAAAAAAAAAAAGAAATTTTAATTGAAAATCCTGTTTCAAGATAAATTAACATTTTTTTTTTTTTCGCGATAATTAACTCACACTGGAGAGAGCATTTGTAAAATGGTCCATATTGATGCTGAAGTACCTAATATATCTCTCCAATATAAAACATCCGTGTTCTTCATATTTATTAAAATAAATAATTTTTTAATTTTTTTTTTTTTTTTTTTTTTTTTTAAAAAAAATACGGGGGGGGAAAATTCCAAAAAAAAAAAAAAAAAAAAAAAAAAAAATTACTTTTAATCTAACTATACATTTTATTTCTTTTTTATTATTATTATTATTATTATTATTTTTTTTTTTTTTAAATTAATTAATTAACCGGTTTTATTTACAAACAAAAATGACGTGTCAATAACGAAAAATTACATTGACCGTGAAAAAATTTAAAAAAAAAAAAAAAAAAAAAATGTAAAAAAAACACTTGTCACGTATGATTATAATATAATTCATTAATCATCTTATATTAAATTTTAATTTTTTTTTTGTATAAACGAGAGGATTATTACGTCATTAAAATTGATTTTTCGATATTGAAAAGAGGGGGAGGGGAGGGGGGGAAATTACCATTAAAGTAAAATTAATAAAATGCAGTTATTATTTACTTACTTAATGATAATATTAACAGTTAATAAAAAAAAAAAAAAAAAAAAAAATTATTTTTACCATAGAGTGAATGACAAAAAAAAAAATTAAATTTTTCTTATGATCATCAATGAAGTTCCTCGATATTTCAAAAAAATTTTTTTTTTTTTTTTTTTTTTTTTATAAATGACACACCCCTAAAAATTTTCCCTTGATTTATTATACGCACACCCCCACATACACACATGAAAATTAATCGCTGCTCGAATGAGTTTCGACGAATCCACAAAAATTATCTGGATTGAAAAAGAAAAAATTATTATGGGGAGCTTCTCTTTGTGAAACTGCTTTAACTATTTCTTGACTGACAACTCCTCCGACTATAGCACAAACTGGACTGATTTCAGCAAAAACGTTACTGTGGAAAAAAAATTTCAATTCACAAACAATACCCATAAATCACAATCATTATTAATAATAATAGTAATAATGGTACCTGAATACTGTTGTCGGTATTTTATCCTGTGGAACTTGAAGACTTGTTAAAACAGTTTTACTAAGAGAGCTCAATGTATCAATATCGGCCATTCGATTTTTCGGATCTGGTTTTCTATTATACTTGGTCCTAAATTCTAACAGCACTGAAAATATAAATGAAAACAATTAATTTAAATATATTGGGTTGGCAAAAAGGTACGAATTACAAGGAAACGAAAAACGATTTATTAATTATGTCAAATTATTTATATCTATTATATTATGTCCATTATTATTAATGACCTTTTGACATTTTTCGGGTAGTATCATCATTCCATGTTTCATAATCAACTCTTTAGTTTTAGGAGCAAAAAACTGCTCTAATGCAGTACGATTGACCTCATTGTCGTTTTGGAATTTTTGTCCGTTCAAAACATTTTTTAGGAATCGGAAAAAATAATAATTATTTGGAGCTAGTTTGGGACTATATGAAGGGTGCAGCAAAACATTCCAGCCTAGCTCCAGTAGTTTTTGTCCAGTGGCTAAAGATGCTATTGACTAGCTCCGGTCGTTTTTCTTGGATGGTATCATTTAAATTTGTCAATTGTCGAATATAAACCTCTGAATTTATGGTCTGACAAAGGAAAATCTCCAGAACGGAATTTCGCAAACCAGTTTCGACACTGCCCTTCTATTAAGACTTCATCCCCCTACACGGCCCACAAATTTTTATTGGCCTGTGAAGCATTACCACCCTTTCAGAAATAAAAAAGTAAAATGTGGAGGAAATGCTCGCTTTGGCTCCCCATGTTTAAATGTCTTTTGCTCGCGTACTATTTATGAGTTCAATGAAATTTTGGTACTGAATGTTACAGAAGGAACCAAGTAATAACATACAAAAAGTTCATGTTTGTACATAAACATAAACGTACTCAAAAAAATGGACAAACTATCTGTTGGTAAAATCCGCAGTTACTTACTGGCCAACCCAACATATATAAAAATTTTTTTTAAAAATTTAATTAAACTCACCTCTCATTAAGAAATATGAATAATCCATTTTTGTCAATTTTTTAGCATTTTCAGGTTTCGACCAATCCACCCCTAATGCTTTCGACAATGAAACAAAATTTGCAGTATCTTTAACTGTTATCTTAACTGGTTCTAATTTTTTTTTCCCATCTCCCTTTCCACTTGGTAATTTTGTCACTTCTCTGTAAGTTAATAAGTATCATTATTATTATTAAAAATATGTTTTGTATTTGTCACAGTGGGATAAAATCATTTAGTTTTTGTGAAAATTGTCACAACTTACTCGACATATTGATGAACTTGAAGATCTGCAAATATGTAGCCAAACATTCCGTAAACATCACCGCAAAAAAATTTAATATTATTTCCTCTACATATTTGATTGATTCTTTTCAATTCTGATAATGTGCATTCAGTCGCTATGACGACATCAAAATTTTTAAAAAAATTTTCATTTTTTTCTTGAATTCGACTCGTGTCAGCTGTTATGTTGACCATAGGATTAAGTGCTTGAGCTCTCATCAATGATGCTTCAGCTCTCTGTTAACAAAATAAAAAATTCAACAATTATAATTATCAGGTGGTATCTTTTTAAGAAAACTTATTAATTATACATACCGATGATCCAACAAGTTCAACTGGCGCCAAAAATTGTGAACAGGTATCTTCTTCAGTGAGTACTCCATCATCTAATAAAACAACCGATTTCACACCTGATAAAATTATATTTTTTGCTATTTCCGCACCGAAACCTTTTACTCCGATAATAAGAATCCGTGAATTTCTAAGCCTTTTTTTTTTTAACAAACATCAACAAATTATTAATAAAATAATAATAATAATAATAATAATAATAATTACAACCATTAACGAAGATTTGATAATTTTTATTTACCTTTTTTGTGATTCGAGACCCCACAAACGTATTTGACGATCGTAAAGTTCAGCTTCATCTTCAGTTAATTCGTTTGCTTGACCGGCAACCATTTTAATACACTTTTTTATATGATTATTATTATTATTATTATTATTTTAATTTAATTGAAACGAATCGGCAACCATTAGAGTAATTGCACAACAACTATTAACCGATGATCGTGTCATTAGAATTGTCGTGTCATTGTTACGACAAAAAAAAAGGGTTGTTACATAAATGTAAAAAAAAAAACCAATTGTAATATTAAATTATAAATCGAACGAGAGAACGCTTTAGAAAATACTGTTTGTTTATTAATTAATAAAATTACGTATTAATAATTCAATTCGGATTTATTTTGTGCAATTTATTTTTTTTATATTATAAAGACGTTCAAACGATTTAATTAATTTAAAAAAAAAAAAAAAATGTCAATGAAAAATTTAAAAAATTCAAAATTTATTTAGGAGAAAAAGAAAGGTTTTTTTTTTACAGGTAAAAGAAAATTTTTTTATCTGATCGTTTAAAATATACAATAAATTTTTTTCTTAAAAAAAAAAAAAAAAAAAGAACAACAAAATTAAATCCGCGACTGATGACGTTACATAAATGAATTGACCAAAAAAGTATTTTTATTGTAAAATTATATTTTTATTGACCAAAACTAAACATTTTATTGTTAAATAAACGGTAATCACACATCACTTGTTTTATTATTATTATTATTATTATCTGAATGATTAACATAATCATGTTTATTTTTTAATAATTTAATCTTATTACAGTTTCACAAGTTTAAGAAAATTGATTATTATTATTATGGCTGGAAGAGGACGATTGCTTATAAGTCCACCTAAAAATGTTGGAATGGAAGAAACGAATAAAACAGATGCATGTCATGAAATTCAAACTATAACGTCTAAAATAAATTCAATAGATCTCACAAATGTAAATGCTAATCATCTTTATAACATTCACATTTTATTTAAAAATTTACAAGAATCAGATTTGAAAAAAGCTATAAGAGAATTTTACACAAAAAGTTTAAATGATTCGGAATTTGGTAAAAAATTTTTATACATATGTACTGAATTTTTCCAACGTAAAATTGATTCAACTGAAAATTGTCCGAGAAGAGAAATATTAACCAACATGCAAGAAGAATTTGAATTGAAAGATGCCATTTGTCAAGCTGATAAACCTAGATTTTACAATGCTGTTACATTTTTAAGCAATTTATATTATCTAGCAAGTTATGAGGATGTACCTATAAATATATTAGGTAGGGCTTTAATATCATATATAGAATTATTACTCGAAGGTAGCGAGGAAGAATTAAAACTTATCGTCATACAGGTAATTGATAAAATGATTATTATTAATATTCGATATAATCACAACATAACCACTAATATTTTTTTTTTTCTTTTCTTCCCCCCTCTCCCCCTCCACAGATTGGTCTCAATTCAGATAAGTTAAGTAAAGATGTTGAAAAATATAAATTATTGCATACTCGATTGAGAAGTGCCTTGATTGAAAAAACATTAAATAAAACGTCAAAATGTTGGTTGTTATTAGCAATCGATTTATTATCGAATGATTCAAATTATTTTTTAAAAAATTTAAAAAATTTCTACGTGGAAAATTTGGGTGAACCTTTTGCTAAAGTTGATAAAACTATAAAAACATTAAAACAAATGAAAATAATAAAAAGTAGCGATATCAAAGGAGATGTGAAAAAAGAATCGAAAGATGATAAACAACAACAACAACCGCAACAACAGCTAATGACAACTTTTAAAGTAACAGGTTTAAATATACAAAAACCTAAATCAGATTCTGGAAAACTCAACAACAAAAATAATAATAATAACAACAACAGTACGAATAAAAAAAATCATTCATTTTCTCATAATAAAAATTATTAATTTGATGATAATTTATCGAAAAATAAAACGAATAAAAATTCACATTACCTTCACGATGATCGTTTCGATAAAAATGTCAATTATGGGGATGTTTCTTCAACAACACCTAAAACATAATAATGATAATGATAATTGAAAGGGTGGAAATGTAAAACCGAAATGAAAAGTGAGAAGTATAATAATGACGTCTTTTCTACCCTATCTACCCACCTCCCTCCCTTCTTATCACTCTTATCAGTGCATTTATTTATTTATCAATCACTTCTTATCAGTGCAACACAAAAAAAAAAAACTTTATATATTAATCAATGCTTTATTACGTCTTTAATTATTTTTTTAATTTTATATTAAAATAATTTTATATATAGTTTGTTTGTTAATCAGAAAAAAAAAAAAAAAATTTTTTTTTCGTTTGTTTGTTTGTTTGTTTGTTTTAATTTTTTTTTTTTTTACTTTGTACCAAGTGTTGATTACTTTTTATTTTATTTTTATTGTTATAAATTAAAAAATAGAGAGAATTTTTTTTTATTTTTATTTTTTACGGTTTAATAAATTATGTGTAAGTAAAAAAAATTTAAATTTTATTAATGATTCGCCTTCATTGTAATTCTATAAGATAATAATAATAATAATAATAATAATACGTCACCTGTCACACTTGTCGAGTTTTTTAATCGTTATAAATTTTTTTTTTTTTAACTAACAAATGAGTATTTGTTGTTTATTTACTTTTTAAAAATTATTATTATTATTATTATTATTATTATTATTATTTATTTTTAATTATTATTATTTGTTTTTTTTTTTTTTTTTTTAAATTTTTTAAAATGGTCGTTTAAATAACAAAAATAAAAAATAAAAAAAAAAAATTATTTTTTTTAAAAACAACAATAATAATAATAATAATAACATTTAACATCCTAATTTTAAAAGTGTAAATAATAATAATAATAATAATTGGAAAAGAAATAGAATAACAATAATAAAGGTATGAAAATATTTTTTAATTAATAAATGTCGATTGTTGTTGTTGTTGTTTTGGTTGTAGTTTAAATTATTTAAAATATTGTTTGTACGTTTCAGATATATTTGATGTAGTTAAAGCGTTTGTAAGTAATAACAACAAAATAAATAAATAACAAACGTAAAAATGTTTGAAATAATGTTATTAAATATTAAATAATAAGAAACGAAAAAGTGGAAAAGAAAAACAACCAAAAAAGTAAAAAAAATTTTTTTTTTTTTTTCTGTATTTAAATAAGAAATGACAAATTGGCCGAGTATACAAGAATTAAGAAAATTCGAATCAAAATTTATTGACAATTCAAAATATGAAGATTTAAAATTAACATCATCTAATACGATACCATCTACTACAACAGATACAACAACAACAGCAACAGCAACAACGACAAACGTGAATGAATCCATAACGGCGAGTAAAACAAAAATTATCGATTCAGACGATTTAAATTTTATCGAAAATAATAATAATAATAATAATAAAAGCGTTGAAAATTTATGTTGTAAAACTGTGAGATGTGTTATGAAAAAAAATATACAAGATAGTATAAAAAAATACGATAGAGGAGACGGTTTAAATGTGAATCAAGAAAATCCTAAAACTAAAACCTATCAACAAAATCCGATTATTGTTGATGATAATATAATAAATAAAATCCGAATGGAAAATCATTTGAAATGGAAAAAGCAAAAAGATTATGAATACTCGTTGAAAAAACAAGCGGAAAAACTCGCTTTGGAAAAAGAAAAACAAATAAATGATCAAAAAGAAAAATTAAAAAAATTAAAAGAAAAAGAAAGGGAAGAAAAATTACGAGAGTGGGAAAAACAAAAGGCAAAGGAAAAAGAAGAGAAGAAAAAGGAAAAAATAGTTTTGAACGTGTTGAAAAACGAAATGAAAGTTGTCACGCCCATCGTTGATAAAGATAAACTAATTGAAGAATGGGTTAAATTAAAAGATAAACAAAGACAGAGTATGTTATTATTATTATTATTATTTACCTTTAACTTTATATTTGACGCCCTTTTTTTTTTTGTTATCAGTGGAAGCAGAAAAAAAAGCGGAAATACTTAAAAGAGAAGAAGAAAGCAGAGCGTTGAGACAAAATTTAGCCGCATTAAGTTATAGACAATGGAAAGAAAGGCTCAAAGGAAGAACAATGACTCTACCTAAAAACGGATATCGTAAATTTTTTTGATTTTCAAATTAATTTTCCTTTGTTTTCCTTTTCCCCCTTACTACTACTACTTTCCTTTTTTTCCTTTTAGAAATATTCGGTCCTAAACCGATACCCGTCGTTAAAGAAGATTGGAATCGTAATTTTATCAACAGCAGTCCACGTCATAATAATAATAATAATAATAATCAAAACGGTTTTAATTTAAGAATATCGAAATCGAATACGTCATCAACAATGTTTGCATTTCGACCTGAATTAAAAGAATTAGAAAATTATAAAAAAGATGGAGAAAACGATACGAAAATAACAACGACGACGACGACCATGATGGCGGCGGCGGCGGCGGGGGCGGAATTGGCGACGATATTGGATAAAAATAAAAATTTAATAAAAAATGTTAAAAGCGTTTTCGATTTAAATTTTATACCGTTGAAAGAATTACAAACGGAATCAACATCAAAAATTAATTTTTATAAAAATGACATAACGGTCGTCCCACCATCCCAACAACAACAACAACCGACAAATTGTTTATTAACGGATATACAACCGAATAATAAAATCCATTATTCAACGTCACACACCAATCATTTATTTACAAATAATAATAATAATAATAATATATTAAATACGGATTATTATACGAATAGAGAAAGTAATAATTATAATTTATTAAAAACCGTTAATAAAAATTTTAAAGAGCCTTACATACGTCATCACACTGTCGCCAACAATTCCGATACGATGCCGTTGAAAAAAAAATTAGATTTATATATAAATGCACCGCCATCTCGTACTACACTCGCCGTTGAAAGGAAAAAAAATTATAAAAACGATAAGAAAACAGCAACAGCAACAACAGGAATAACAAAAACAAAATCATTTGGTCATATCGATAACGATAAAATAATAAATGATAATAAAAATTTCATGCCAATGAAAACGACGAAAAAAAATAATAACATTAACGAACGTAAAAAAGAAGATGGCGGAGGAGGTGGATGTACGATTTTGAAAAATGTCGACAAAAAACCGTTAAAAAAAACGGAAAGCGTTACGAATGCAAGTAAAAATATAAAATCGAAATGTAATTTAAGATCGCGATCGTACGATAAACAAATTAAAAAAAAACAATCCAAAGAATTATTATTAATTAAAAATAAATTAAATCCAAGATCTAAATCGTTTATTAAAATCAATAAAGACGATTTGATAAATCGTTACGTCAGTGATGACGATGACGATGACGACAACGATGACGACAGCGACAACGATGATGATGATGGGGAAAGGAAATTGATAGAATGCGAAATAAAAAAGAAAAAATTTAAAAAAAAACCGTTAAAAAAATCAATTTCGAATTGTAATGGCGGCGATAACGTACGTGGTAAAACCTTCGCGGATCGTAATAACGGAAGTGACGTCAAATTGAAAAAAAAATACAAAAAGAAAAATAATAATAATAATAATATTAATAATTTAATAACGAAATCTCAATCTTTTACCGACAGTCCGTATTGTGTTAAAAATCAAAAAAAATTAAAAAATCACGATAAGAATAAAACGGGAAAAAGGAAAAATTTTAAAGATGGCGAAACTAAAAGTGATACGACAACAAACGCGGGTCAAAAATTAAAAAAATCATGAACAACTAATTATATATGATTTATTATTATTATTATTACTTTTATTTTCGAACGTAATAACCCGGTTATTTTTCCTTTTTCCCTTTTTTTTTTGCCGTCAAGAGAGAGTGCATCACAAAAAAAAAAAAAAAAACAAAAAATGCATCATTTGTGTTGTTAACAACAACATAAATGATATAATTTAACATATGAAAAATGATTGATTATAATTTAGTTAAAATAATAATAATAATAATAATTAAAAAAAAGTGAAATAAAAATATTAAATGCGTGTGGTAGCCATTTTTTTTTTTTTTTTTTTTTTTTTTTAAACAGATAAAAGTGAAATGTGTTGTGTGATTTTTAGAATTATTTTATAATTACAAAGGCGGCTTATATGGTAACGTTATTTATTTAAAATAATAATAAATAATAATGATAATAATAACCAAAAATGACGTTACCGTATAAGAATATATATTAATATATATAATGTATTGTAAAAAAGACTACATGAACATGTCGTAAATAATATTAATATATAAATAAACAAATAAATACCTCGTGTAAATGAATTTCCTCCTTATGTTTTTAAATGATAATCAATCGAATATTAAATGGCGACATATTTAACTCACAAACTTTCATAAAAACAGTAAAAAACACAAAAAAAGAATCAAAACAACACACAAACACTCTCCATAATTCCATTTTGAATAATCCGTTGGATTCAAACAAACAAAAAAATCTCTTAATAGAAGCTTGTGCTTTTAATTCGTCGCGTCGTCACTAGAATGCGCTGCTTAATCAAAACACATCCAGTAAATACATATAATATAAATTCAACATGTCCGCAATAATAATTTAAAAAAAATATCAAATTTTTAAAAATTATTTTATTTCGTGAACCTTATACATTTTTTTCGTTCAGGAGACATATAAATACTGAGTAGGAGGGAAACAAAAATAAAAAATAAAATCACGATTTTCATTTACGTTTCAAAAGCATTTATAACGCATCGTATATAATAATACTAATAAGTAATTATAAAATGATAATAATAATAATAATAAAAAGGTTAAAATACTTTCGTTATAGCCTTTTTTTTTATGTCGTCAAGGAAAAAATTTCCTTTTACATAAATATTTATATATATATAAAAGTATATAAATGGCATACTATTTAAAAAAAAAAAAAAAAAAAAAAAAAAACATCACAAACCGTGAAAGCGCGCCCATTTTTTTCCAATTAAAAAAAAAAAAAAAAGAAAATTTTCTCTCGTCGAAAGAAAAATCACAAATAATACTATTATTATTATTATTATTTTTTGCTATTCGCTTTCGATTAGCAAACGTTATAGAAAAAAAAAAAAAAAAAAAAAAAAAATTCGATTGATCGATGCTGTTTGTATCTCGTGAAATCGTTTAAAAAAACTTTTTTAAAAAAAAAAAAAAGGGCCAACATTTTTATCATAATCACGGCAAAAAAAAAAAAAAAAAAAAACAGTAATAATAATAATAATAATAATGAAATTTAAAATAAAAAAAAAAAAATTTATGTAAAGTTGATTGATTGATTGATTGAACTTTTTTAAAAAGGTTCGCCGGAAATTTGTTTGTTTCGTTAAAAAAAATTAACCCTTGCTTTCGACGGCTGTCGTAGTCAAACCTTGTTTGCTCACCGTTGTCTTGAATTGTTCCGGAACCGGAAACTCTTTCTGAAATTTTAAAAATCACAAATTAAATTACAACAGGGAGCGAATGAGTGAGTATGAGAGAGAGAGAGAGAGAGAGTGTGAACGCCTTACGAAATCTCCCGTTCCCGTTGGTACGAGCACGTTCATTTCCGACGATTTTGACGATACGATTTCAACGTTGAGAGAGTCTTGACTTAAATAAATTTGACAACCGTCCGTTTTGTCGATGGATATCGTCGGCACGGCACCCAATACTTGCATTTGAACGGATTGACAATTGACGAATTCGATGCTGGATACGACGCTGTCGAAAACGACAGCAGTCTTCTTACACGAATCCAAAAATATCGAATTGATTTTACCCTTGACGACGAGAGTCGAATCCGTGCATTTGAATGCGTACACGACGTTGTTCATTTCCGCATTGTCCACGACGAGTTGATGATTACCCTTTTGATATTCCTATTTTCAAGGGGGGAGAGAGAGGGGGGGTTAATCAATTATAAAAAAGGAAAAAGAAAAGAAAGAAAAGAAAAGAAATTCTCTTACGATAAACCATTTTTTTCCTTCTCTACCGAATCTGGCGGGTTTTTCCGGTGGACTCGTCGCTTTGAACGGTCTCGGAGTTTGATTCTGTATAGAGACGGGAGGTGGAGGTTTAAACGGAGCCGGTCCTGCTCTCATGGCGGGATTTTTATGCGTTTGCATTTCCGGCGTGACTCGTTTCAAATCTGTCAAAATTGAATTTTTTTTTTTTTTTTTTTTTTTGTTTTTAGCAACAGCAGTCTTTCGTTCTCTTAAACGATAAACTCACGCAACTCACTTCTCGTTATGTTTTCCCCTTGATTTATTTCTGCAAAAAGTGCGCTTCTATCTTGTCCCGCGTTCATCGTCGGTGCTCCGTCTCCCAGAAGGTCGAGCATAGGTGGCGGAAGTGGAACGCTACCACCGGGTGGCGGCGGCGGTGCATTACCGCTTACTTTCGGAGGATTCGTGCCGCCCCAAACCAAACCGGTCGTGTGATATTGTTTGACGAACGCTTGCAATTCCGAAAGTGTTTGAACCCACGCTTTCGTCCAGTCCACGTGAATTTTATCCCTGAAACAAAAATTTATTAAAACCATCTTGTCTTCTTGTTTAAATCGATCGATAACTCGTTCGACTTACTTTTCTTTCCATTCTTTAAGAACTCGATTGGTGAAAAATTGTCCGGCATCGTTCATTTCTTTGACGAAAGGACCCGGAGCTGGACTCTGTAACAAACGATCACATTTCTCTTACCGGAAGGGAAGCTAATAAATAAATCGTAAAAAACATTTTTTGATTATACTCACGACAACGACCCATCCCAAAGCAGGAATACTTTCGGATATGGCTGATAAATGATTGAAAAATTCACTCGTCCTATGTTTTTCTCTAAAACTTTGAATTGCTTCAATTTTCTGAGACGTGGGCTGTAACAATTTCGTCTCTTCCGGTTGTGACGGTTTACTAGATTGAGCAGCTAAGGATAAATATTGCAATTGAGCTCTGAAAAATTAATGAAAAAATGAAAACACTTCCGGTTTAATTAAAAACAAACGTGTTTTTGCATATTATAATTCTTAAACTGACTGAAAAGCTTCGTGAACAATTTTGGCATGTTCGGCAACAACTCCACCGATGTGACTGGATGCTTGAAGATAGTTTGCAAAGGGTCCTTGCAAAACTTGTTGAAATCCCTGAACGCTCATGTTAGGCTTCGATTGATCTGAAAAATAAATAAATAAATCAAACAAACGAACAAACAAACAAACGAACGAAACGAAACGAAACCGAACGAATCTATTACAACATTTAAATTGAAATTACTACGACAACCAGCTAAAATAAAATAAAATAATAATAATAATAATCACTAACTTCAACCTCTTCATCCGACAGTAATATTAATAATAATAATAAAATAAATAAATTCACTACGACAAATAATAATAATAATAATATCAACAATAAATTTAAATTTATTTTTTGCAAGAGAGGAAAGAACGTTCTCGATAAATTTTCTCTTCTTCTTCTTCTTCTTCCCTTTTCCTTTTAGAAAATTCCTTTTCCAAAATTCGATTACGACAAATTTTATTGATAATAATACGCTCCTTCCCCAACCTTCTTCTTATAAACAGAACAAAACAAAACAAAACATGAATGCATGAGTTCAACGTATTCGACAAGAAATAACTTTAAAAAAAAAAAGAAAAGCGGTATCATGCCAACGGTGGCTCATGGTGGTAACCGTGTGTGTGTGTGTGCACGTGCGTTTGTTCATACGTACGGTAAGTAGGTGGATGTTGTTTGTTTGTTTGTTCGTACAACAGAGCATGCTCAACAAACAACAACAACACCTCTCTCTCTCATGCAACACAACATCAATCACTTACTATTTGTCATATTCGTATGCGTTTCGTTTTTTATTTCCGTTATTTTTTTCCCAATTTCTTCTTCTTCTTCTTCTTCTCCTTCCTCGTCTTTCAATTCATTCAAAATTTCTTTGTCTTCTTCTTCGACGAGTCGGCTGACCACCGTGTTTTGCGAATTCGTCGAAGTTTCGCTTTTGTCGCTCGCACTTTGAACTTTATCGGGTTCTTGCGTCGCGTCTTCTTCGTCTTCTTCGACGGATGCCAAATCTTTTTCCGTTAACTCTTCAAAATCCGCACTCGAATCGGGTGATATTATTATGAAACCTTCTTTTTCTTCGGAATTATCTTTAGCGAGTTCTTCTACTTCCTCCTCCTCCTCCTCCTCTTCCTCTTCCCCTTCTTGTTCCGGAGATCCGGGATCCGTTCCCTGAGAATTTATCAATAACTGTTGTATGTTTTCTTTTTCCGTCGGAGTTAAATGTTCGTCGAGAAAATCTTCAAGGCTTTTCGTGAGTGTGAAACTTTTTCCCAATGCGTCCGCGCCTTTTTCCAACAAAGGCACCGCTTTTTCCAATCGAACCGTTATGTCCTCTAACCTTTTGAGTAAATTTTCAAATTCTTTCACGTGCGATGCTCCTGGCTCTCCTTCCGATACTATTTTTATTTATTTATTTATTATCGTTACGTGTGTGCAAGCATTAAAAAAACAAAAACAAAAATCCTTTTTTGAAAAAAAAATCCCCGAAAAATGATTTTTAGACGTAAAGACTATAAAAACAGGTAGAGGGGGGGGGAGGAAAAAAAAAACCAAAAAACTCACGTATTTCTATCGAGGGTCCAAATGGATCGAATCGTACTCTATGCTCGCTCGCAGCTTGGGCGACGGATAATAGTTCGGAAAAGAATCTATGTCGTCGAAGAGCTAATTCGTCCCGGGCGACCTGAAACGATATCAAAGGTAGGAAAAGAAATTTCAATAAAGTCATTTTTTTCTTCGGGGGGGGGGGAGACGGGGGAGGGGAGAGTGGGAGGGAAGAGGGCGGCTACGTCAGCGCTAACCGGAAAACTTTTGTAAACGATACATATAATATAATATTAAACCTGTCGGTAATTTTTATTCTCGCGATTTCGCCTCGAAAAAAAAAACCGGAAGTAAGAAATTTTGTTTCCGGTTTCGGTTTGTTTTTATTTTTTTATTTTTATATAATCCAAAGATTGTTTTGACTAACCGGTGTGGCGGGAGGTTCTTGAGATCCTCCCGTTTCTTCCTCTTCGGACAACCATTTCGGGAGTACGGCCGGCATGCTGACTCTTTTTTGAGCATTTATCAATGGTTTCTTTCCCGGAATGTTTAAACTCATTGCCGAGGGCATGTTTTCTATTTTAACACCCAAATTATTTAACGGTAATTCCAAATGACTTTTTTCACCCGCCACGAAAACTTCATCGCTCAAAGGTGATACCGTTCGAGTCGTTTCTACTTCTTCCGGCGATGGTTTCCTACAACTTTCCTCCGACACGGATCTTCGTATTATTTTCCCATCAATGTTTTTCACGGATAGCGAAAGACTTTCCGGTTCGTTTTCGTCGTCCTCGTCATCATCCTCATCATCGTCTTTATTATCACCTACGACGACGACGACATTCTCATTTTTTCCTTTCTCACCTTCGCCTTCCTTACTACTCTCTTTTCCTTTTTTGTCTTTTTCCCTTTCTTCCAAACCCGAATATTCTTCGAATCTTACATCTTCCAAATCTTCGGGAAAATTCGTCGGTATTATTTTCACTTCCGTCGATATGCTCAATCTCGGTTTGGCCTTTTTCGGACCCGACATTTTACGATTCGACGACTGAGACGATTCCACGATTTTTGTCACTTGGTCCGAATTTTCATCATTTTCCGGTTTTTTAACTTCCGTTTGAGCAATAACATTTTCGCTTGTCGCGGACGCAAGTTTTCCACCCATTTCAAACGTTATCGTCGTTTCCTTTTCTTCCTTTTCATTTTTTTCCACGTAATTTTCCTTTATGCTGTCTTTTCTTTCGCCTTTTTTACTAGGACAACCGCAACAATTTTTAAACATTTTCCTTTATTTTTTCCGACTCCATTTCATTTACTTTCGAATAAAATCCACGCACATGCACGAATACGTATCGCTTTTAAAACAAAACAAAAAAAAAAAAAAACAACAATGATAATAATAATAATAATAATAAATTCTTTTTATTTAATAAACTGAAAGCAAAATAAAAAAAAAAAAAAGAAATTCGATTCAGTCTCCGATTTTATTTTTCATTTAACTAAAAGTCAAACACGACAGTTTCTCAGATTTATTTATTGTTCTCCTTGTTTTTCTCTCTCCCCCCCTCCCCTCTCTCTTTCTCACTATTATTGTCAAAAAGTCAAATGAATAATGACATGTATTACGATCGATTTTCTTGTCAAATAATAATTAAAACTAAAAATAATAATAATGATAATGATGTGAAAACACAAGGTAAAATTAATTTTCCAACGCAACACAAAATATATAGAAAAATTATTATTATTATTATTATTATTATTATTATTAAGTTATTTTTGACGTGCGTGTACAATAAAAAAAATCAAAGCAGGAAAATGATAAAAAAAAAAAAAAAAAAAAACATAAACGCGACGACAAAAAAATTAATAAAATAAATTACGTAAAATAAATAAATAATAATAAAAAGGACGAACGGATTTAAAATCGATTGAACGTTTCGGGTAAAATAAAAATAAAAAAAAATTTTTTTAATTCATCGCCATTTTTTTTTGTTTTTTTTTTTTTCTTAAATCGATTTCAAATAATTAAAAATTTAAACTAAAAAAAAAAAAAAAAAAAACAGGGAATATTATCAAAATTTAAAACCAACCGTTCGCCCGAACGGACACCAACATCACCACCACCGCGAAAAACACGAACGGCTAACGCCCACCGTTTGAAAACGTTAAATTCTCTCTCTCTCTCTCTCACTCTATCTCTTTTTTTTTTTTTAATTTTCCATTTTCTCTCTCTCTCATTCATTCATTCATTCACTTTATTATTTTTATTATTATTTATTCTTTTTTTTTTAAATTATAAATTTTTTTTGGAGAATTTCATTTCACGAATATCCGCGGCGAACTCACCGAACGAACGAACGACAGATCACACGCACTTACTCACTCACTCACGCACTTTTATTATTATTATTATTATTATTCAACAACCCGATAAAAATAAAAATTAAAAAAAAAAAGAAAAATGAAAAAAAATATGTCCATATACGCGAATGGAAGTTATCGGAATGAAAATATTCGGATATTTTCGGTTTTCACCGCCTTCTACAGTTACAACAATAATAACAACAACAACAATAAAAAGCAAAATTTCCCAACTTGCTCTCTCTCTCTCTCTCTCTCTCTCATCCCAGTTTTCCAACATCATCTTCTTTTTTTTTTTTCCAGGCGCGTTTTTCAGAACAGAGAGAGATTTTCCAATTTTCATGTTGATCGTCTGTCTCCCCTTCAAAAAAAAAAAAAATTTTCTTTTTTTCTTTTTCCGGTTTCCCTCTAATAAATAATTTTTAAACGTTTTAATTCCGACGATCGTCCGACATCGACTCAAACGAACAAACAAACGTTTTTCTCTTATTATTAACAAACGACAAACGACAACGTTTTCACGTTATTTTCTAATAAATTTTTTTTTTTTTAAAGAATCTTACGTCACGCACACGCACACGCACAATCAACCCGAATCCTTTTTTATTGTATTTTCAAATAAATAAAAAAAACCGGAGAAAAAATAAAACAAAAAAAACGATAATGATAATAATAATAATAAAGTACGTATATATAAACGGGTTGAAAAGATTTTAGTACAGAGGTCACCATCATCCAAAACGAACATTGATCGTAACGATAATAATAATAATAATAATATCAAGACCTGGGTAAAAAAAAATTTAATTCTTTTATTATTATTATTATTTAATAATAATAATAATAATAATATTGCAAAAATCGATTTTCTTTCTTTCTTTTTTTGTTTAATAATAATAATAATAAATATAATAGTTTTTAAATATGCTGACTCAAGACCACAAAAGTGGTAAATGACCTTTGAGAGTATTATAAAAGAATACACTCGAGAATAAATTTTCTTTTTTTATTTAATATTAAGGGGAATCCCATAGAATTCATCGACGCCATGATTATTTCATCGGTTAGTTAAATAATAATAATAATAATAATTTTTATTTAACGTTCGCCACCCGTTCGTTCGTTTAACCCATAGAAATAATTTTAAATAATACAAATAATAAAAATAAAAATGGCGGGTTATTTTTTTTTTGTAATGTGCAATGTCGGCACACGCGTGCTTGCGCACTCACTCACGCACTCACGCACGCACGCACGCACACACGCGCGTTTAGTAAGAGTTTTAAATCAATCGATTTCAATTGCATTTTTTTTTCTTTTTTTTTTTTTCAAATAAAAATAAATCCGTTACGTTATTACTATTATTACTTTTTTTTTTTTTTTGGCTCAACGTATAATCGAATCTCGCACGTTCGATACCTCGAAGATTTAAGTAAAAGAAAATGGCTGCCGCGAGGAAAACGATACTTTGTAGGGTCACTGCCTCATTGGCTTAATAGGACATTAAAAAAAAAAGAAACTAAGGTTCTAATTACGATGTCCATTACATTGTTTGATCTTCTAATGACATTCAACAAACAACAACGAATATAAAATTTCATGTAATTTTTTTTTTTTTTTCTCCTACCATTCTTTCATTAACAAACAAGGACTGTAATTACATCAAATGTAATACATGTGAAAAAAAAAAAAAAAAAAAAAACAAAATGGATGCTCCTGACGATAAAAAAAAATAAACCTTTATCAATAGAGAAATAAATAAATAAAAATGGCGACAGATTTCAAAAATTAAAATGCAATTTGAAAATGAATTATATAATTTACAAAATAATCCGTTAAGTAATTATTATTATTATTATTATTATTTAAACCCCGAAACAAAACAAAAAAAAAAAAAAAACGTTAAATTTTCAATTTCAAAATGGCGACATATTTAAATTTCGCGCCTTAACCTTAATTTTCAAAAAAAAAAAAATAAATAAAAAAAAAAAAATTTTCTAGGAACCCGAAATTAAAAATGGCGCGCACGTTGAATAATAATAATGATTATCGTTCGTTATATACATATATATTATTTATTAATTATTTTGTTAAAAATTTTGTTTAAAACGACAATTTAATAGAATTTCAAAAGATAAATTATAAAATAATAATGATGATAATAATAATATTTCTCTTACTTTTTCAAAAGCCTCACAAAACATTTTTAAAAAAAATTTTTTCTTTTCTTTTTTTATTTAAATTAAAAACTCTTCCTTCCTTATATCACCTTCACACTGAATCAACAAAAAAAAATTAAAATAATATTTTAGAAAGAGATAGACAGAGAAAGAGAGAGAGAGAGAGAGAAAAGGCAATGAATTTTTCCATTTTGCATTTCAAGCAAATTTTTCCATATTTTCATTTTTTTTTGCTCATTCGATGAATTTTATCACATGTTACAAAAAAAAACATTCGAACATCATCATCATCATCATCATCATCACCACCACCACCACCACTATGAGTTATTGGAAAAAAAAAAAAAAAATAGTGAAATCGAACAAAATAATTGACTCATCAATATGATGCCATCATGACGATGACTATTATTAAAACAGGTACACTTTCTAATAAACCGAGTAATCAAATCAATGCCAACAACAACAACAACAACAACTGTTAACACAAATAAAACTCGATTTGTGATAAATTATCATCATGATCATCATTCGAACCCCCCAAAGCATACTTCAAATTGAAAAATAAATAATTAAATAATTAATTAAACAATTTTTTTAAATAAAATAATTGTTTTGTATACTTTCAAATAAAAGAATTGATAATTTTCATTATTTTATTATTATTATTATTATTATTATTATTATTATTATTATTATTATTATTATTATTATTATTATTATTAGTTATCCATGTTTATTTCACGGTCGTTCATAAATGATTCATATTTAAAGGTCAACCAACTTGATTAAAAAAAAAAAGTTACAAATGAGTTTTGTATGCTATGATCATGTTTGAAATTAATATGTTTTTTAATAAATTTATTTATTTATTTATTACCCTCAAGTAAAAAAATTTCTCATCACTTATATGAAAATAATGATAATAATAATAATAATGATAATATTAAAAAATAAATTGAAAAAAATTATGTTCGAATGTGAAATTCGAGAAGAATAATCAATCATCACATGAATGATTTTTTATTTTTTTTTTTTGAAAAATAATAAGAATTTGGAGTGTATGTGTTTTAAACACAACAGAGATTTGATTGATATTAATCAATTAACCAAAAGGTCAAAATACCAAAAAAAAAAAAAAAACACAAAATTTTATCAAACCGCAAAACAGATTAACAAAAAAAAAAAAAAAAAAGCATAAAAATTTAATCTTGTTAAACTTTCATATGAATGCAAATAAAAATTCATCTCGACTTTATCTTTATTAACATTCATACATACACAAAAAAACAAACAATAAAGTAAATTAAATTCGTAGGAAGACAATTTTTTACCAAATTGACATTTGATGGCATATTAAAATACAATCAATCGAATTAAGCGAATTCAGGCTCACGATATGTAAATAAACTAAACATACACATTCAGACAAACACACACACAATCAGACAGACACACACACACACACACACACAAACACAATCAGACAGACACACACACACACATTCAAACAAATTTACACACACACACATCAAACAAACACACACACACACACACACACAATCAGACAGACACACACAGACACACATCAGACCCTCACAGTTGCACACATTTTCGAATAACCTAAAAATAAACAATTTCTATCATTTGTTAAAATAACATTAATTAATAAATAACAATAATAATAATAATAGTAATGTTTTGACAAAATGAAAATTATTAATTATTATTATTATAA